AAAAGGAAAATTATCTCTTGAAAACAACATATAAGGTACAACATTTTAAACTTTTATAAATTATTCTTTGATGCAAATCATCCTATTAGCACGACTGACAAAAACAGCATGCGATTTGAAAAAAAATTGTTTCGGTATTTTTCCAGTGCTTCGAAGAAATTGTAATAGTCATGCAGACAAATGAAAAGCTCACAGAAAATGTTCAAAAAGGAAACCTCACTTTCATCCTAGATCTGAATAACAAAGAATAACAGAAAACGAAACGTGCTAAGAGTGTTCTTGCATTTGTCTCATACAAGAAAATATTGCACATTTACTTCAATAACCTAAAAAATATACTAGTATTCGTTAATTTTTTTGTTTTAATTAATATAAATAGCAAAAGAAGTAAAAATAACAGGAAATCCCTTACCATAGAGCCAGGCCAATGACGTCACTTCTAGAAGTGTCAACAGCATTACAGACACACTGGCACAGTACCAGTCAATAAGGGTTAGGACATAGATACCACCCTAAAGGAATCAATGTAAACAGTAACAATTTGTTATTAAAAAAAAGCAAGGTCAGATACATTTTAGGTTAATAGAAGCGTTGCAAGAGTATAATATTTGCTTAATTTAAGTGACCGTAGTTCAACACCAAGGGGCATGATTGCAGAATAAAATAATGAGGATCTTGTAAAAAATTCATTTCTTTCGAATTGATCCTTTGTAAATTAATTACTAATCAGGTTTTATATTATGAAAAAAGTAAAAAAAAAAAAATCAGATATAACATAAAATATGACATCCACTGACCATTCCCAAAAGCTAATGTATATCCTTATGGTCATTTATGTACATGTATATATACCTGCGTTATACATGGGATCCCAAGCAAAAACCCAATAAAACAGAGTATGCCTGTTAATGAAGTCTTCCACTTGTTTAAAGCTTTAGGAAAATTGTCATGTAGAGCACCTGTCAAAGTTTGAATGTGTACCATCTAAAATGAAAATAAGATGACAATAAAATTATACCTAGTAACAGTTAACAAAATATTCTAGTCTGCTTTCCTCAGTGGAAGTTTTGCCAAACGACTGATACCATGGAAAATGGCGTTGATTGTCAATTTGGTTTGTAAGAAATGTAATTTTTTGTTAGCTTATAATAAAGTTGCTGATAATGTTTCGTCGGTTATCTTATTTGCGTTTCAGAAACAATGTATTGCAAAATATGGCTACAAAACAATTCTTGCTTGAAAAAAGTACAGAACAACTTACATAAAAGTATGTTTACATTTATTATAATTTTAAGAAGTGTATCAGTATATTTTCTTACCTGACTATCAAGTCCGACTGTGAAAAGCATGATAAAGAAAAGAACTGCCCACAACTGAGGCAGAGGGAGCTTGGAGACAGCCTCAGGGTACACAATGAAGGCTATTCCAGGTCCTTAAAAGAACAATTAAAAATCAATTATTTGAAAGACATGGTACAAGTAGTTTTATTTCTGAAATTTTCAAATAGACGATATATATGGAAATAACGAACAGCATGCTACTAATTAACTAATACAAATCAGGAGCAGAGCAAACACTAAACCACTAAAACATCAGGTGTCATGGAGCAGAAAGCATCCACTGCCGACCTGTCACACCCGCCGTGTGCTCCTTTTCATGATCGGAAAATAAACGAAAATCCGTCAACATTTCAATATGTAAATAATGACCTAACAATAAGTTAATATGATAAGCGTCAATCAGCTTTTGACTTAATGATAGATTGTATTTGCTGTCAAGGTCATTGTATCGACCAAAAAACTGAAGAATGAAATAAATGGAAATAACGAACAGAAATCAAGCTCAAAGTCCATAACAAAAGTCCATAAAAAATAGGAGACGAGCACACCGACTACCAAAATATCAGATCAAGTGCAATGAAGTGCCAACGTCTTTTTCTAGTGAAATCTTCAAATATGGAACGTCTAACCCTGAAATTTTAACTCCAAATTTATTGCAAAGAAAGCAAACAGAACGGGCCACGGAAGCTTAGCAGTAAGTGTTTCTGTTATCTCATTGGGCCCGCGTTCAATTCTATTTCGCCCCGTTAAATTGGAGACGTTAACATAAGTAGGGACGCTTCTTTTGCTTACCACTCGGTACCAGAAGTAAAGAAGTTAAAGTCAATGGTCTTTGTATAAGTGCTTAAAGTTTCTATAAGTGTCGAGTGGGGACTTCAAACAACATACAATTAATCAATAAATCCAACAAAAATAAAATACATAGTTATCTTTTATCTGAGATCAAAATATTCTAATTTTGGAATTAAGTAAATGCATAAAAATATGAAACGGAAAAATTTAGCAAGTTGACAAATGTTACCGCTTTTTACAACTTTATCGATAGAAACACCGGCTTCTTCCGCCATAAAACCCAGCGTTACGAATACCACACATCCGGCAAAGACGCTTGTCACAACGTCAACAACAGGAAGAATCATCGCATCTCTGTAACACAATTAAAAAGACATACGCAATTTTAAAATATTTCCGACTGTCTTTAATTTCTAGTTCATTTTCAAATGTATAAATTTTCCTGATGAAACCATTATTCTGGAAAAATAAAAACAAAACGTCTACGACAATTTAATACATATTCACATTTGTTATTTGCCTTTAATATGGGATGGTAAAAAAGCTTATTAAAAATCAAAATTTTGTTTCTGTCGCCAAAATAGTGTCTTGCAGATGCGTACTTTGTTTGGATGAATCTTTGGTTTGTCCATCGTACTTCACACAAATTGTTCCTGAAGATGTTTGTTCCTCATACGATTGCACAAATTTTAAACAGCACTTCAATATATTTCATATAATTGTTATTTTTTATCTCTATTTATAAGCTTGAATGAAAGTAGTAAGATATACTGGAATTCACCTGAAGACGTTGTTATTAAAAGAATTATAGCTTGCCAGGGTAGCAATGCCTCCCCATCCCAGTCCAGCGGAGTAAAACATCTGTACTGCAGCATCACACCACACCTAAATGACGTAAGTAACCAAAACATAACATACTGAGTGTTTTTACAGTTCTTTCAGCAATACAAATCACACAACATCGAAAAAGTAACCAAGGTATTATTTAGAGACAATGATCATTATTTAAGCTCAGAGCTCGTTTAAACAAAACAAATCGGAAGCAGGGCAGATATGGACCTTCAAAAATACCAGAAGCGGGATCAGGTGCCATGAAGGGGTAAGCATCTCCAATCGAACGGTCATATCCTTGTCATGATCGGATCAACAGAAAAATTCCTAAAAATTTCATTGTTTAAATAATTGCCTAACAATGAGTATTAAAATGTCAGTCAGAATTCGGCCAAAAGATAGACTAATTGTACATTGTATCGACAAGAGTACTTTCGGAATTATGACTTCAAACAAGTCTTTGATATTCTTGTTTTATCATGGCTTGCCTCGAGCTCGATTGAAAAAATGATCTTACGTAGAGATTAATGAACCGGGAAACATAAACACCCCCATATGCTGGCGATATGCTACGTAGTAATAAAAGTTGCATATAGAGAAATTGAAGTAATCCTTCTTATCATTAAGTTATGTTGTTAGATTACCATTAAGTTCTTTTTCTAATAAAAATATCCAAGGGTATCTTTTAGGTAAAATTTACTGGGATACATCCAATCGACACACTAGTATGAATAAAATTAACTATAAAACGTTGTTAACTGATACTACGTCGTAGATACATCTAATTGTCGTGTTAAAGGTTACAACAAAAAATCATTTTATGTATGTTTTTTTTAATAACCTATCCTGCATACATACAAGTAAAAGTAAAAAAAAAAAGGTTCTGCTAACAACAGGAACAACAATATAGAATGAAATAATAAAATTGATATAAGAGCAGCTTAAACTAATGAATTCATCATATTTTTTCGTTATGTCTTTGCTTAGGAGAAGAATACTTATTTCCAAAAATGATCAATGGCATTAAGTTCATAGATAGATGATCTAGATGTTTTTTATTTTGAGAGTGTTCGTGTTCTGCACAAAATTTACAAGCACATATGATTGCGCCCATGTGAAAAGGGTCCTTATGGCAATTTTTATGCATTTTGAGTTTTTCACGGATTCTGATAGAGTAAGGTTAGAAGTTGTCAAATATGAATTTTTATGGTCCTACCTCTACTCTAAGTAGGTTTTTTCTTCATTTTTATCAAATATACTTTAACAGGTTAATAATGACGTCATGCTTTTCAACAACGTCAAACGTTTTCAGGGTGAACGTTAAATGATTTTCCTCTGTAATTTTACTACGGTGATTAATAGTTGTATAATATTTGATATTTTTCCATGCACATTATTTTTATCTCATTGTCTCTTTTAATTATTAATAATCATTTAATAGTTATATATATTATGGATTCATCAGTGGTGTATAGTATTATGAGTGAGTGTTTGTTTTACATTTCACTTTTCTATGACACCAGGGGGAAACCTGAACAGCGGGCAACATCCATTCATTTTTTTTTTTTTTTTTGAAACAATTATTTTCTCAAACAAAATATTAACTGGTAATCCATGCAAGAGTCATTTGATAAGCCTGTAGAATTCATTTCAAAATTATTTTAATTTAAACATTGCTCTCGATAGCTCAAGATTTCAGCATAAACGATATATCTTTAGTTACCATAGATGTGAAAATTATTTTTTTTTTAATAACAACATTACGCTACCTAAATGCTACTGCGAAGTGAAAATTTATTTGATTGTTCTTTCTTTCTAAAAATTGTGAAGTGTGGTACATGTAACATGTAAAATTTACGATACACAATAGACAGTAAGTAAAAAGGAAATTCGGTTCATTCACTGCATCTATAAGGTTGTCTGTCTGCATTGGGTCAATAATGACACTGCTTTTTTGAAAATATAAAGGATACACGAAATATTTTTCAGTTTAGCAGTAAAAATATTTTAATATTAACCAATCAAAAGGTGGAAATTTTACAAACAAATGAATGAGTTATAATCCGCAAACATTTACACAATAGATAAACCCAGGATTAACATTTGTAGGATTATGTGTATGTTGGTGAAGGGGGGTGGGGGTGGGGGGGGGTGGTTAAAAAATCTAAATGGCAGAAACTTACAATTCTTGTGAACACGAGTTAAAATAGATAAAAAAATATCTTATTTACTTCAAAAGTTTTAGGTTCACCCAGTACCATTAACCCTACAACTTGCAGATTTACTTTTTTATTTAGGTTTGAAATAATGCTGCCTATTATTCTTCATTTTATATTTGTACCTTTAATTCTGAGCATTGCCATTTTCAAAATCGCACAGCGATCATAAACACTATGAGCCTGGAACTGAATTGCTATGAATTCAGTATTGTTAATCATGTATATAATGATACCCTAAAATTAAAAAATCTGGTTTTATTTTATGAAATGGATGGTTTTAGAAGCACACCCATAGAATTAAATTAAAGATGCCATTTACGGTTTATATGTATAGCTTTTGTTAGGGTAGGGGTGGGTTAAAGATTAATAACATGTAATTGTTTATGCCTAAATATACAGTCAGTTGAATATGACTGTTTTGTATAATATATTTCCTGACAATTGTCTGTGAACTGGCTGAGCTTTGAAATGTCAGATTTTTGTAGGGATGTAAACATCTTAGAAAATCATCATATTATTTATGACCTAATTAAAAAAAAAATCCCCTTCATTCTAATGTTGTTTCTAATTTTATTCTAGAAAGTGAGTTTTAAAGAGTATGAATTCCATTCTGGTCCTGTGCCCAGGGACGTAGCAACAGGGGGGGGGGCTTGAACTTCACTTTTTTCCCCAACCTTACTTATACTATAGGAATTGATAATTAAAAGTCTGGTTGCCCCCCCCCCCTCCCACTATTGTGATGTACGGAAAACATAGTATAAAAATTGGTACTGAAAAAAATTGGCCTCTAACCCCCCCCCCCCCTCCCCACGAAATAGGATTTTCGACTTTGTGCAACATTAACCTTTTTTTTTTTTGCTTGTCAACTTTTTCAGGGAAGTAAAAAAAATTCTCTGGCTGCCCCCCCCCCCCCCACTTTCAAAAACGATGCTACGTGCCTGGTGCCAGAAGCTTGGATATGCTAAGTCTTGTAAAGCCTACATGTTACGGAAATATATAAGCACCCCCCACCCCCACCCCAATCCCCTGCACTGCAGCCAAAATAAAACAAAATGCAAGCATATTGTTGCGGTTATATGTCATGTATTTTCAGCATTGAATTTTATTTTCTGTTAGCAATTACATGTAGAAATAAAACCTGACCCTGAACTTATAAAGATTTTTTTATCAACCAAAACAAATAAATATTTTTTGAGCATATTTAATAATATTTATCCATAATTTGATGGCAGGTTAAACAATATATTATTCCACACTGATAACTGCAATGAGAAGTTCAGTGATGATTGAGTTTTTAGCATGATAATTGATCTGTTAAGAGACATTCCATGCTGATCGAGCTTTTATGAAAGACAAAGTTCGGCATGGCTTAAGGAATTAATTTGCAGATAATACTTAAAACATTTGAACTCCGTATGAAAAAAAAAACAACAACAACACGTAAGTACCAAAGAGTTACATGTATATTAAACTTCGAGATCTTGAAAATAAATAGCTATACATGTATATATAGTTTAGAGAACAAAATTGATATTTTCTTTCATTTATTATTTCATTTGTTTTGAAAACTCATCTGTTTCAATAGAGTTTCACATTTCTCAATATTAGATAAATAGATTCAATATAAATATTTTTATCTATATACCCTACATCCTCTCTCTCTCTCTCTCTCTCTCTCTCTCTCTCTCTCCTCAGATTTACTTGACCAGCTCTATTTAAGTTAGAACATTAAGAACATTTTTTTTTCATTCGGATGTTTTTTGCTTGTTTTAATTTCTCTAAATTGAAGTGTCTTTGTGCAACAAGAATATAAGACAAAACAATATTTTTAAATTTTAATTTATTTAATCATGATTATAAGGTAGACGCTTTACATGTTTATTATTTTTTTTAGAAATGAAATTCGTCATGAAATTATTTCATGCAAAAAAAAAAAGCTATAGATAAGAGATTTGAAAAAAAAATTAAAGTCTGTTCAATTTTGCAGTTTTCTTTTTTTTTCTTCTTCTTTGTTTTTCCTTTTTCTACATTAACCTTATTCCCAAAGTACAACAATATTTTTTTATTTAAAAATGCATGATTATGATGACGATTAAAAGTTTTTTTTATTTTGTCATAAAATATCTCTTTTATAATCCGGGAGAAATTTCATGCGAACATGCAGCTGAAATGTGAAAAAGTACGCAGTTAAAATAATGAATGTCCCTGCCTGGTACCCCTGTTACATCGATTGTTGACATCAGAGTTATCTCTCCTATTTTTATTTATAGAAAATACAAATAATCTTGACTATCGTTCTTACACATTCTTGCTAGATTTGTAAAAAAAGATGTATGTTTAATTTCAACATTTGTACAAACAATTTAACAACAGTTTAAGCAGTATGCACCGATGAATCAATGTTTACATGTTATCGACGCGATCGCGATGTATATTTGAAAGTGGTGGAGCGGATCTCAAAGAACTAGGAAGACAATTTTCCTTTGCAATATTTTTTAAGATATACCCTGTCTAAGATGAATTCTAAAAATGGTATAAATATGTAAATAAAATTTATCTAGAGTATAAAGGTTCAATATGCTATCAGAAAACACCTTGTCTACAGCTTCTATACATTTAATTACGCATGTAGGAAAACTATTGGTATTATATAGAGACGTATATGTAATAATGTTTGTTAAGAAACCATTTCTAAATGTTTTTATTTATATCTATTAAAATCAGTGGATTAGGAGATTCAGATATTGATTCAATTAATTTAACAATGAAAATAAACATGTTGGAAACAGCGATAAAAATTCTGGATGCGTCAAACGTCAAAACACGTGGTAAAAAAAAATCTGCGTCGAAGTTCACCGTCAGTCTGCAACGTCACATCTTTATGACGTTATTTCTCTGTTTTAGCAAAAATGCCATAAGGACCCATTTGTCATGGGCGCAATCATATGTAATATTACACTTTTAAAACTATACACTATATTTCAACAAAATCATAGGTATTTTTACATTGAATCTAAGTAGGTCCTCCCAGCGTGGAATCAGAAACACTTCTAAACCTTTTGCTGCTCCATCAATATTAAATGTCAGCCCTCTTATAAACAAAACCAGCAGGAATAGGTACGGCACAGTGGCAGCCACGTATACTACCTGTTAGAATATAAAATGTTTATTTAATATCCTATTTCTCCTTTTATTAATTTTTCATAGGGTCTGACCTATGCGAGATTCTTATGGCGAGTAACAATCGACAACGTAACTTTTTTTTACAGGATTGAATTTTATTTCAACATTATGTTGTTTGATAAAACATTAACATTTTTCAAATAAAAAAAAGTCTTCCGTGATACAGAATATTTAAGGAAATTGTATTGATCAATAAAAAGACTATAGAATAAATAAATTATTAATTTTACACTTGCATAAATGTGCATTGAAGAAATCTTTATCAAAATACTTCACGCTAATGATTTCTTCTACAGTATAGCATTTCCTAAATCTAAATCACTTTTGTAAAATAAAAAAATTGATAGTTTTTTTTTTTATCAGAGACCAAAATAGACTCTTGATTTACCTTTCCTGAAGTTTTGATTCCTTTGAATAAACACAAGAAAACAGCTAACCAAGCGGCCAGCAGACATAACAGAAGCTGCCAGCGGACCGTCCCTGGATTTCCAATGCCATCAGAGATATCAAGGACATTTCCCCTGAAATGTTCACAACCTAAGGAGTTATAGGCTGTTTAAAGTGATACTTTTTCATTCAAAGGCCTGTAGTTTGATTTTCAACATCAGTTTTATATAAATATTCAAATATCTTAGATAAATACTAACAAGAAAAAAACCACACATGCATCAATTTAAGAGTAGAACAAGACAAGATTTAACAAAGGGTGTTAAATTCTTCTCTGTCTTATGACTAGTAAGATAAATCAAAGACATGCATGTCGAAAAAAAAATACATAAACATCTTTAAACAAATGAAATGACGACAGATTTTCCCGTTATTTCCCGATCATGAAAAGGAGCACACGGCGGGTGTCACCGGTCAGTAGGGGAGGCTCACTCCTCCATGGCACCTGATCCCACCTCTGATGACTTGGGATTCGGTATTTGCTCTGCTCCTATTTTGTACTGTTTTATGAACATTTGATCTTGAATACTGTTTGTTATCTCCATATGTTTCATTCTCCATTACCACAAATTATGTGACTTCTAAATGCCTGAAGGTAAAGTTAAAATCTTTTTTTGTTTCAGAAAACAAGCACTTTATTCAGAGAGAGAGAGAGAGAGAGAGAGAGAGAGAGAGAGAGAGAGAGAGAGAGGGGGATGCACAGAATGTTTATCTAAGAACCATCATTTACATGTGGTTGTAACGAAATATTTTGTAACAAGAATGACACAATTTGTTTTTAAATTGTTATCAAATGTTTAAATTGAACTTGAAACATTGGACAAGAGTTTTGAGTGTCAACATTAAGAACCAATTGTATTCCGATCAATATCAATTCAATTCAAACATCTTTTGTAAAATTCAAATATTCAAAGTATTGCACGTGATAACGTTCCTGTGTGAAGTAGGAACTTAAACAATGGACACAATTTTTAAGCCCCATTTTCACGTAACACCTGTTGTTTTTCCTTCATTTAAGTTGATAATAAATCGGTCTATATATCCTTTTAAAATTTGCTAAATGTATCGCTTTTGATAATTTGATAATTGTATGTCTTTTTCCCAGAAAAGCAATATTATCATTAAAGGCAAAATTAAGGCATCATTAAAACTGACAAGCTTGTTTCCGTAATTGTCACTTCAGATAAAAACTTCTGAAGAGTCGACTATTCAACTCAATAAGGGCAAGCTATTAATTGAGGAACTTTTTGAGTTAAAATTTCCTAACTATAATATATATATTTAAAATGTGTTAATTGTCGATATTTACTTCCGCAATCAAGGAACTCTCATTCAGAATCTACAGTTTGTTTGAAAAACGTCAAACATTGAAGCTACAAGTTTCAAAGAAATATATCATTCAAAAGTTTCAGGCCTAAATAAACAACACTACAAAAAGATGCTTTGATAAATGTAGATTGTGCAAATCTGTTTGTTCTGAAATGATTTATTGTAATCTTTATCAAAACTTGAAATTTTGAATACTAAATGCGTATTTGTCAATATTCTAACCTCCAGAATTCCTCTGCAGACGAAGGCAGTGTAATGTTAACATTGTCTTCCAGAGTAAATAGTGTGGAATTTGGCAAACTCGAGTTCATGTCACGCAGCTCACAGAACTCAGTATTCCAGTCATTATCACAACTGGTCCATGGAAGTTTGGGGAAGAAAGACATTCCAAAATAGTACAGGGCCCAAGCCAAGATGACGTTGTAGTAGGTACTAACAATCCCCGTCAAAACGACCATTCCGTGACCTATTCCTGAGAAAATTTCAAAAATTTATTACGTGATTGAAAAGAATAAATGTTGTCAATTTGTCAGTTGTTGGATAGACTCAAATTGTTATAGCAGCAAATTAAAGTTTATAAACAAAATGATTATTTGAGTAAAAATCATAAAGCTTATTCAAGTACGTATACTTACATACATCCTCTGAGTCTCAACATTCTTTTCAATATTTAAAAATTGATACTAACAAATATATTTGTACGTGCAGTAATCCTATACATGAGTTTGAATTCTCTGTTTTGTACCTTTTAATAGTGGACAACAAATCCATACCCTTCCAGGTCCAAGATTAGAATACTGTGAAAAAGTCATCTCCAAAAACATCATTGGCATTGCACACAGGAACATGAATATGAAGTATGGAATCAGAAAAGCTCGTTGAATAGAAAATTATATATTTTCAGGTTAAGAAAAAACTAGATACTTAAACAGTGAATATATGAGTATTGCCACACAAGGCACCATAAGAGTTAGGACAAGTGTACAGCTGTATAGCCTTATAGTTAGCGTTATGAATCAATAGGATTGGGAATAAAACTAAGATCTAAAACTAGTCTCTTAGAACATGTAGAATTCTTAGACTTAATGAAAACCCATAACGTTCTCTTTATTTAATACCATAATTCGGAATGTTTTGATCTGTAACTTTCTGATGTTACAAATAAAAGAAATAACTTGAAAAAGAGGTTTAAATGTGAATTGATAATTTCAAAAATTAGAGTTTAGACCTTTCAAGGTTAGAAAATAAAATTATTTATTTAAAAAAAAAAACTAGAAGAGCCAAGATATTTAGAATCAGATTGCAATATGAGCAAAAGTACATTAAATTTCAGCCTGCCGACAAACTCTGTAAAGGCGATATGATATCTGACTTCTAGAGTGGTAAAAAGGTTGTCGTGCTGACAATTTTTTTCATTGCTAAATAGTAAGGCCGAACAATAGGCTGTCCTAAAATAACATTTGATATATTCATACATCTCTATACGTTTACACATGCAATCTTAGTATGCTATAATGCAACGATTTTTATGCTTATTATTTCGAAGTAATATTTAAACGTGAAAGTAAGTAATTCCAACACAAGTCTTGTTTTTTTTTTTTATTTTAATTTAGGTTTCGTAATATTTTATAAGATGACTGCAATTGTTAACATGAAATCCTTTAAATTTAGAATATCTTCTAAAAAATTGTAAATGCTGACTTCTAAATATGAAAAACCAGCTTTAAAAGTTGTAGCCAAAATTGTAGTTTGAAATACCAGACCTATATAAAATACAGACAGTATATATGTGAAAGTATATGGAAATATGTATAATTTTTCTGTTTATACAATAACATTATGACTGAGATTTTGCAGATTCTGTGGGAGGTAGAGAAGGGCGGGGGACTGCATTTTTATTTATGTCAGAAGTTCTATTTTGAAATTCCCCAGAATTATGAATTTTCATGTTTATTTCACACATAAAGAAATTGCTGGAGAATAACTGTTAACTTTTCAAAAATTCAAATTAACACTAGACATAATCTATTGCTTTTTAGTTGTACGTGTTCTTAACAGGACTGGTTAGCTAGTTAATGAGGACATCTCCTGAAATTGTAACTGTTAGTGTGTTATCTTAATTTTTAACAAACCTCCTCCGTTCTTGAAACAAATATAAGGAAACCTCCATATGTTACCAAGTCCCACCAAACAACCGACAGAAGAAAATAAAAACTCCCACCAGGATTTCCAGTTTCCTCTCTGCAAGACTTCTTCTTTAGCCATATTGCAATCAGTAAGATTACCCTTTTAACCAAATAGATTGCTACAGACCCCTGTTTACTTCTGCAGCGAAATGTTAACCTAGATTGAAGACACGCATGAAGGACTTCGTATTTGTGTCCGATTAGCTTCATATAACATTTATTTGAAATGAAATGATATCATGTGTCTTATTTAAGGTATCTATTTCTCCTGCAACCATTCTATTTATACAACAGGTAAAATTGAGTTGAGGTTTATATGAAGGTTTTTTTTAGGGGAATCGAGAAGAAAAAAAAAGACAAACATTTTTAAGGTCTTCCGTCTTCACGGAAGACCTTATAGCGATTCTATTGTTTCTTATTATTTAAGGTCTTCCGTCTTAACGGAAGACCTTATAGCGATTCTATTGTTTCTTATTATTATTATTATTATTTTTCTGACGCGATTTCTCAAAGACTACTGGATGGAATTATATGAAATTTTCGGGACAGATGTTTTGTTAAATGAATTTGATACATCTGAGAGATTTTTTGGAAATTCGCTTCCGGTGCCAAGTTACAGACCTTTTTCTGATTTCTTTTGTCCACGGATTTTCTCAAGAACGGTAAAAGATATCAATGTGAAACTTTCAGATGATATAGATGATAAAAAATACTATCCAGGACGCGACTTTTCGTTTGTCGTCATTACTTCCGCTCGCTACCGGAAGCTAATTTAAAAAGTCTAATTTTTAAATTTTTTTTGTTTTTCAATATTTTTCGTTTATTTTTTGTATGTTAATAGAAACCTTTCTTATAATGCTTACTATATAATTTGTTTGAATATTGATAAATCTAAACTCTAGATATTAGCATTTAAAAATTTGAAGCGTTTCAAAATGGCCGCTCTCTCTGTCAACTCCGACATTTCGCAATAGGGGTTTACTGAGGCAGTCGAGCATTTGCTTGAACGAAAGTAACATAAGGACAAATGAAATGTAAAGGAATACTTGGATTTTCACGTTGTAGTTACGTTACAATCCTGTATCAAACTAAATTCTTCTTAAACGTCTTCTATAATTGGTTTTGGTTGATTCTCAAAGTAGAAAAAGAAAAGACTAAATGTGCAAATGAAATTCGATACCTAATATCTTCAGCTCATTAATCATTGTTATAAGTAATAGTTTTTCAAGAAGGATATCAATGAATACAGTAAGTATAAAACTTATCCACTGTTTTTCCCATGCACACTTGTGCCATATTAAGCTAATAAAAAAGACAAAATAAGATAACCATATTTTTTTAAAGATCGCTTAATAGAGTTTATATTAACATTATTGTCTCAAAGATCTTATTCAAGTTATTGAGCACAAACGATATCCAATTCCTTGTCCGTCGTAAGGCGAGCCTTTTTTTTTACGAAACATTTCAATCTCTTCATGAATGTTTTTAACTAATTGGGATAGTTCACTTTAGCGAGTTCACTTTAACATTAAATTTTAAAAAAAAAGTTAAAATTCATAGCCATTTCACTCTTTTAGTGTTACTTCCTTACATACTATATGGAGTTTGTGAAATGTATTAAATATACTTTCTAATCATCAAGTTTTAGGCTAAATGAACGTTTTTTTTAATTTCATTAAAGATATCACACTTATTAAATAGAACATTCCAAAGAAAAGGCGCGAAGGATTAACTCGTGGCGTTTGGCGCGAAATTATGAATAGTGACTTGCCTTTCATAATTCTAAGACAAAAGCACTGTTATACATAGGTATATACAAGAAGATTAAGAGCAGAGGTCCCAATAACGTAATATTTAGCGCGTTGGATTTTCATGCTGGCGACTTGGATTCAATCCCCCCTGCGTGTAATATTTTTTTTTTACCTTTTCAGCTAGATTTTACAAAGTTTTTTTTCGAAATCGGACGGAAGACCTCTTGTTGCTCGCAACGAGATCGTATCTAGTTATTATTATTTTTCTGACCATCTAATTTTGTGCACGCGAATTCTCGAAGACTACTGGGTGGATTTCCACAAAATTCTCAGAAACAATGTGTTGTTATCTGAATTTATTTTATCCGAGAGATTTTTTGGAAATTCCCTCCCGGTGCCAAGTTACAGACCTTTTCCTGATTTTAAAATGACATTTTGTCTGTGGTTAATCTCAAGAACCGTAAAAGATATCAATGTGAAACTTTCAGGGATTATAGATCGTGATAGATACTAACCAGGACGCAACCTTTCGTTCGTCGTCTATACTTCCTGTCGTTCGGAGATGAGAATTGAGAAAAGCGTATTTTTTTAACTTTTTTGTTTTTCAATATTTTTCATTTATTTTTGGAATGTTAATAGAGACCATTCTATTGATGTTTACTATATAAGTTGTTTGAATATTGGGTTATCTGAACTCTAGATATTAATATTTGAAAATCTGAAGCGGGCCCAAGATGGCGGCTGCCTCTGTGAACTCCGCCATTTCGCGAGTAGGGGTTTATGGAGGCAGCTGAGCGTTTGATTGAACGATTCTGACATAAGAATACATGAAATGTAAAAAACTACTTCGACTCTCACGTAGTAGTGAAATGGTTGGAGGAGTTACGTCCCGTTACTTGTTTATATTACAATAGCTAATCAATAAAAACATTGTAATTAATTGGTCAATTGACAAAAGAATTATACAAGTATCATTGATAAATGATGTTCTGTTAGAAAATAATAATAGTGTTGCCAAAAGAAAGGCAGTCTGTTGTATTTTATCAATATGATATCTGATAACTTATGATCATTGATTAAGTTGAGGTACAAGGGGGCAGTACAACCAACTGGCTTGTGTTTTCACTATGGTACAGAATCCATTTGGTGTAAAGATCAAATGGGATTGTGCAAAGTTGCTGTAGTTAGTGACTAGTTAAAACACAGGTGTGTGACGTTAGCTATAGGTTTGTCATTAGGACAAAGAAGCTCTTACAAAGTTAAATCATACTTTGTATGTATATTGTAGCCACTTGGCTAGAGTTATACGAGTATAGTGTGGCAATTATCAGATGGCACCAGGCAGGTGCCGGTATTAACTGAAGATATATAAATAATTATACAAAGCACTTAGGTCATTTGATTTAAAGACACCAGGCAGGTGTCATATTATTATGTGTATATATTGCATTCAATCATATCCCCAGTAAAACTCGGTAATCCGAGCACGGACCTACTGACCGCTCAGATCTGACACGTTACATTAGTATGTTGCAATTGAGTCAATCTTAAAACTTAATTTCCGTTTCACTGCTTCAGTGTAACTGGGCTAGATACGATATGTATTGTGTATAATGTGTTACATATACTTTCTTAACGTCGAAATAAAATAAAGGCGCTAAGAATGTTTTATTTTTAAAATTTAATTGATGCTATCATACCTATCTAATAGATCAGTCCAAAGAAAAGGCGCGAATATTTACTCGTGGCGTTTGGCGCCAAATTATGAATGCTTTTTATAATTCTTAGACAGACTGTTGCAAAAGTACCGTGGTATACACAAGTATATTTAGAGCAGTACTCCCAATAGCTTAATGGTTAGCGCGTTGGGGATATAAAAGTAAAAAAAAAAGCGCATTCACGTTGGCGACATGGTTTCAATCCTCCTTGTGATAAAAATTTTGAATCTCTTTTCAGCTCGATTTTACGTGGGTTTCTTTTCCTAAAACGGACGGAAGACCTCTCGTTGCTCGCAACGAGATCGTATCTAGTTTATATTATATTTTATAATGACATTTTCACTGTCAGTAGGATGTGATGTACAAACGTAAAAGATGGAAGGATAGTGACCAATCTCATAAATCTCACTGTTATACTATAGCGATAACTAGGAAAACTTATTTACTGAAGTGATGATAATTTTGACACTGGAGATCAATTAAATCTCAGTTAGAGATCAATAGAAATTGTACTTTATATTGACATAATATAATAATTTAATTAATCTACACATCTGGTGAAAATATTCCTAGAAAAACTTTTAGCACTATCAAAATATGTATATTGGATTTTGAAAACATAGTTACATAAAATAAAGATGCACAAATTGAGTTTATTCATTTTATTTTCAACATAATGTACCAGCCTTGTTACTCATATAGGATTACGTTTGAAACACTGAAGCATTAATACAAAGAATACACTGTTGCTTCCTTAATTAGAAAAAAAAAAACAAATCTCCTGTAGATATAAAATCAAATTTTTCATCTTATATAAAATATGCTAAGAATAGCTGTATCTATTTATAATTATGTCTTTTGACGATTTCTTTTTTATTTTATCACACACTGAAGGTCAAACAACTTTAACTGCACATAACATCTTGGATCTTCTATTAAATACATTGTCAATGTATACATTAATACAAACACGAATTGAAATTAGAGACAAACTTAATTTCTAGTATTCATCGTGATATATTTATTTGAACTTTTGCATTTATTAAAAATATTAAGGTTTCAAATAATGAACTTTAAAAAAAAGCATTGCAAACAAGGTACAAACATTAATGTTGTAAATATAAACAATATCATTACTATGGCACTCTATTGATATCAATATCAATATTGGCGGGTGTGACCGATCATTTGGGGATGCCCACTCCTCCATCGCACCTGATCCCACCTCTGATGTTTCGGAGGTCCGTGTTTGTTCTGCTCTTGTTTTGTACTGTTTTATGGACTTTGAGCGTGAATACTGTTCGTTATCTCCATATCCTTCTTCATGTACAAGCATAATTTGAAAAATTAAACATATTTATTCAAAAGAAAAAAATGAAGTTTAATCACTAGCCTGCTTAAAACACACAAAAAGCTAAGAATATCACCTAAGATAAGAATGAATAAGATATTGAAACGTTGATGAAATTGATAATATAATAATTAATTTTGTATATGTAATTACAACATCCTCGCTCCCTTTCTCATCCACTCCATCTCTGTATGAGATTTACTCAGGATTACTTTCTCATAATGTATCATTCATATTTCTCTTTTTTCCTTTTGAATCAATTTTGTTATTTTCAAGTACGTAATAGTTTAGAGGAAATCTTGGCAGAGTATTTGCATGGATATCCTGATTGTTTTTATTTGAACATCCTGCCTGTGTCTTTTGTTTTGAACACTTTCCGGTATTTCCTTTAGTATTTCCTTTAGTTTTTGGAGAAGTGCTTGGATTAAGTGCAAGTGTAATGTAGCTATCTCTAGAGCCATACGTCTTATCAGATACACCCTCTTCCTCTACATCGCAAATAACTTCCTTGATACCATTGGATGAAGGAGTCACGTGGTTTTGTCTGAGAGCTAACGACACGTAACTGTCCTGAGAGTCTTCTGTCTGGCTAGGGATAACAGCACCACCTTGATCGTAGATTTCTTCTTCCTCTGTGACATTGACTCTGGAGACAACATTAAATCTGTTGAAGCTCAGCATGTTGTAGTTGCTTGAGGCCCGTGTCATCTGAGAGTAGTCTTCTTGATCCATCTCTGATTCACGTGTTGCATCATCGTTTTCGACTCGGTTTGTCCCTAATTCTAAATAAAATAATATATTTTATCTAACATAAATTGCCATTGTTTAACATTTATTTTATATCATTTTAGTTTTTTGTGTACATTATCACAGATGGAAGAATTTCGAATGTACAGTCTTAACAATCTTTAAGGTTAGAACATCCAAATTTAGTTAAGTAGTGAGAGTTTATTTCATACCTACATGCAGTAACTGAAAAAAATCGGCCCTACATGCTATTTAATCTTTGCATTTGTAGAAGAGAAAAAATACATATTTTTCTTACAAAAATCTTTTATTTTCAATAATATACAGTGGAACTTAAACATGAAGAGGATGGAAAAGCTATAGGATTTAAAACAATTTTGTACCGTTATTCATAGTACTATTTGTGAGAATTTGCTTTTCAATTTTACATTTAATTAAATATATGTACTACCATGGTAGCTTTTTTAGTACAGGTGTTTCATTTTTTACTTCGATTTGAAATATATTGAATTTTGCCTAATTAAGAATCAAATACATATTCTGTCAGTTTACGACACGAATTTTCTAAAAAGTTTTGTGATTCTTTATGTTCATATAATATAATTTCATTATGAAATGCATTTTTAAAGTTAATTCAGCTAAATACTTTGAAATTCAACACTTTTATTTCATCTAAAGCACTTTTGAAACATTGTTGTTTTGAAAATAAAAATTTATGAGTGGCATGTCGGAACTGAATTTGGAGAGAAATTATTTTCAATTCTTAAGAAGACATATATTTTCTTATATTCCATTTTTTATTAATAAAAAAATAACAACGCATTTTTTATTGTTTCTATTCCTAAGCAAACATATACTTACTTGTTAAATACTGGCGTAGAAACTTTAATCTGTAATGTCAGATATGTCAAGATCAAGAAGAAGCCAAATTTTATTTTATGAAACCAAATAATTTCACTTAAAAATATTTATGTAATACCTACTTGTTTACATATTATTGAGATCTAAATAACCTTCCACTTTCGAAACCAAATAATTTCACTTTAAAAATATTTATTTACTTAACCTGACGTAAAATATATCTTTTTCGTAACGAAAAACGATGTATACGAGTGTCCCTAAATACGCCTGAAGAAATTTTTATTTGCTAACATCATGGTTGCACTTTCATAACTGGCTGTGAAACTTACCTTTCATTGTAAAGAAAGACAATGATAACTAGAATAGACCCAACACCAAGAAATACTGCAATTGCAACAGCGCTAACCGTACTGATAACGTATGACTGCCCGTCTCTGTCGTGGTTCTTTGTATCTGAGTGTAAATCATTTATAAAATTGTAAAAAAGTATCAACGAACATAATACCCTTTTGTACACAATTAATTTTTTTCGTTACATAGGCAAAAGAGGTGAGAGCTCTCTTTTAAATACCGGTATAACCAATATTGATGTTCAGTTTTGTAACATCTTGTTATACCCCCGCTTAAAAAGCGGGAGGGTATATAGTAATCCGTCTGTCCGTTACCCTTATGGGTACCCATCTCTTATCCACAACTCCTATATATCATACCACTGAATGAAAGTTTTTGAAACTTTCATAGAATCTTTATTACATATTGCTATTGCGCACCTCCTATTTTACTTTTTGATCTGACACATATTTTGTGATTCTCACAACAAAATATGGATCATATTCATATGGGAGGCGGGGGCATCATATAGTGAGCTAATTGCACACAGTACGTCTAGTTAAGTTTATAAAACATCTCAAGTTCACAACACTATATTGTTGATAGTACTATCATTTCAACGTATATACAGAAATAAAGTTTTGGTACATACCACTTGGATTTGGCATTTTGAAATGGAATGCACAGAAATGTGAAAAACAAGCACAAAAAATTACCTGTCTAGCTATAGTTTGTTAAGGGTTTCTATATCACGTTTTTATATGAAATAAAATTGTGATCAGAATATAAATTCTAAAAATGCTGTCTTAAGATTTAAATACATGAAGCCTCCCCTGTCAAAAACAATAGTTACCCGCCCACGGACGACAAACACAAAGACATTTACAATTGATTTATATGCATAGCAGGCACTTGACCTTTCATTTGGCGAAATATACATTCAGGTTTAATTATCAAGAAATCAACACATCTTACTTTCAAAGTGTTATTGCCAGGAAACAAATGAAAATATTAACTTTTTTGCAATTTTATTATTCATGTTACCTAACATAATCATCCCAATGAAAAACATAAAGTTAACCATTTGTTTTAAAAGATCTAAATAAAGTAAAATACCACAAAGAAATGTTCTAGCAAATAAATCGTAATTTGATATTAAGTAATATAAAAATGTTAACACAATGTTATGTCTTTAATCATAGGCTTGGGTAGAAAAAAAATGAATGATTTTTAAAAACTATTGCAAGAAAGAACTAAACATAATGCGAAGTTTAAATCACGTTTACATGTACGTGCGAATCTGCAGATTGGATTTTGCTTTCATTTAATGCATGAAACAAAGGCAACGCCGCCAAGCGGAGTATCCCCTCAAAAAACAGCAAATCGACCCGATATTTTTTTTTCATTTTTGTTTCCTCAGTTTCAACCGTATTATCTCCATTCCCTTTCACATATACTCACAAGTGCTATGTTATGTCCCCCACTCAGCACAGTTAAGGTAACAAAAAGGGGGCGGAGCCTAATTTGTACGGGAAAGCTTAACTATGACATCATACAAAATATACGCTAACGTCATACAACAATTCTTAAAAATACCACAAAATGAGGTGATGAGGTCAAACCCTCGATATATAGACCTTAGAGAAAGCATATCGACCGAGCACGAAGTGCGAAGTCGATATGCTTTCTCTAAGGTCTATATATTGAGGGATTGTACCGAAACAAAAGGCTTCAATTGTTTTATTATTTTTTTTTATCAGTTAATAAGAAATGTCTAAAAATCATTCTTTTTAAAATGAATCAATATCTAGGTATTGATCTCATCAAAAGGCTATAATTGTATATAATATTTTCCAACGAAAACGTATTCTATAATTAAATAAAATATCATATACGGATATTCTATAAGTCATAAGTGGGGGTCTTAATAAATCGATCTAGTGCAAGGGCATACACTAAAGTACTGCGATCCTGTTTAACATTGTTGTTTGTCATTTACATTTACGTATTGTTATGATTTGACGCGCAATGACATAGAGGTTGTATAGTCCAGAAAGTTTGTCTCGCTCCAACATTTGAATATTTATAATGATGTTCACCAGTCCATTTCAGGATTTTTTGTTTATAATATAAGAACAATGATCCTTATTAAGAATAATCTTACTATTTTATGAATTCTTAATATATTTGAGGTCAAAGCGGTGATATTTCCTGTTTTAGTTTACATAACTTCAAAGGAATTTCTGGTTAAAGGGAAGAACAATTTTATAGGCTTATGATGGTTTTTAAAAAATTTTCACAGAGATCTATTGAATATCTGTTGAATGAAAAATATATATCTTTTAAGTGTCAATGCTTTATTATAGCAGAAATATATAAAATGAAATAAATATATGTACTTTGTGTCAAAATGTCCATGGAACAGCTTTCTTCATATCCTATAGATATAACGACCTTATTTTTCTATTTTTACTAATAAGCTTACCGTTTGTAGAAGAGGAATAATTGTATGTACATCCTGTCTTTCTGTCACAGTACTGGTCAGTGGTACAGTAACACTTTTCTGAACAGCCAAGTCCATAAGACCCATAAGGACAGGGTCCTCCTGAACAGTTTACACCAAATGTACCTATTTCACAGGCTGTAACATCAGTAGTATATATTTTAGGTGATGATGAGTGACAGTAGTTCTGAATCTCATATATTTTATAATACATTACATATTTGAAACATTCATAATGTTTTCCAGAAGATCAAATTTAATACTTTAATTCGTAAAAAGCAATTTATTGACTTTGTTTAAAACAATAAATGAATGAAGTGCATAGACATTATAAGTTGATAGTATACAATTATTGCTGTCTTTGAGGTCAACACGAAGATTTAGTCACCTAAAAAGTATTATATTCACCGTAACTGGAGGGCAAGGTGAATATTGTACTTCGAAGGTGGTTAAATCATAAATATTGAATAAACAGCAATCATTATTTTATTATATGATTCAATGATAACATGATACAAATCATTACTTATTGGCATTTGTTGAAGTTCTAATTATATAGCTTTCCAAAACTATATGTATCAATTTGGAATTTCCCGATCTATTTTTCGAGCAATGTAGAGAAAAGAAATCTGTATCTTTTTACATCTTTATATTACGGAAGCGTATTAGTGCCACTTGGACACTTCCCTTTTTTTTAATTTCTACACTTTAATATGTAAATTTTACACTTTAAAGTGTAAATTTTACACGTTTATCTGTAAATTTTACACTTTAATCTGTAAAATTTTCACTTTAATCTGTAAAATTTACACTTTAATCTGTAAAATTTACACTTTAATATGTAAAATTTACACTTTAATATGTAAAATTTACACTTTAATATGTAAATTTTACACTTAAAAAGTGTAAATTTTACACTTTAATCTGTAAATTTTACACTTTAAAGTGTAAATTTTACACTTTAAAATGTAAAACTTACAATTCAATCTGTAAATTTTGCACTTTGAAGTGTAAATTTTACACTTTAATCTGTAAATTTTGCACTTTGAAGTGTAAATTTTACACTTTAATCTGTAAAATTTACGATTTCATCTGTAATTTTTACTCTTTAATCTGTAAAATTTGCACTTTAAAGTGTACATTTTACACTTTAATCTGTAAATTTTACACTTTAATGTGTAAATTTTACACTTTAATTTGTAAAATGTACACTTTAGTCTGTAAAATTTACACTTTATTTTGAACAACTTAAACTGTTATCGGTTATGATCGAAAGGTCGATTTGTGATGTTTTACCTCTGAAACTTTAAAAAAAAAAGTATTAAACTGTGATGTTTACAATTGTTTGCATATTTTTATTTCACATGTACTCGTACATGTTTATAAGTATATGATAAACAAGGATGGACTTTTTCCTCATGGGTCTCGTAATTTTCCCCAGCATAAGAAATCAGGGATCTGCTTTTGTTTCGGTATATATACATATGTTTCCTAGTTTTATTAGAGTGTAATGAACAGTAAAAATAAATATCTCAAAGATCTTTTATTTGCAGTTCAGATTGATATTATAATGGTTCTATGTTCATGATGAAATGATATATTAAAATTACGGTCATTTTTTAACGTAGCATAAAAGAAACGTCATTGAATCAAAATACATAAAATTCATTGCCGTTCCAAAATTAATATAAACATACTTTGATATCAATATCACATTCATCTATTTATATTCATTTATATTCTAAGAAAAGTTTTACTTGTATCAGTAATACTTATTTGCGTATTATTTGCATTTATTGTAAAATAGAAAATCAGAATTAAATATCTTGCATGATTAACGGTCTGTTGGCTTTAAAATGCGTTACTAAGGATGTATGAATTTGCTAAATTGACTATGTGAATAAACAAATAAAGTGTAAAATTTACAGATTAAAGTGTAAATTTTACACTTTAAAGTGTAAAATTTACACTTTAAAGTGTAAAATTTACAGATAAAAGTGTAAATTTACAGATTAAAGTGTAAAATTTACACCTTAAAGTGTAAAATTTACAGATTTAAGTGTAAATTTTACAGATTAAAGTGTAAATTTTACAGATTAAGGTGTAAATTTTACAGATTAAAGTTTAAAATTTACACATTCAAGTGTAAAATTTAAACATTAAAGTGTAAAATTTACACATTAAAGTGTAGAAATTAAAAAAAGTGTCCAAGTGGCACTAATACGCTTCCGTATTATAGTCAACTGGAACGTAAAGTGTAGGTAAATATAACATCGTATTTTTTCTACATAGTTGGATCTCAACCAATCAGAATGATAGGAATTATTCAATCATATAATCAATGTAAATATGCACCGTCAGGCAATCAAATTTATCGCAGCTCAGATTACAAACAGATATCTTGAATAAAATATCTGTTAAAGTTTTATGGACAATGACATTTATAGTAGTGCATGCATAATTACAAGAAACATTTTTTTCAGTTATAAATATTTTACCGTGGTTTCAGTGAATCAAATTGATGAAACCTGTACATTGAAATATACAATTTTCATCTTCATGAACAAAGGCATAATTTGAATAATGTCTAGTGTAAAAAATATATTGTAAGCGTTTCCTGGGGTCGCATTTTATAAGCTGAAAATTACTTTTAAAAAATTGATGAAAAACATCCAAATATATGCACGATTAACGAAAAAATCCATCTCACATCTAAGCGATTTTTGAACTATCATTTGTGGGCCTGAAGCACCCGGTTAATGTATTTAATGATTCATTTAATACGCAAGAGCATGCTCAACTTATGAACAATTTTTCAATCGAGGTAGGTTATTTTAAACAAGTCTATGAAACAAAATACTAGTAATCAATAATCTCATTCAAAGTCATCATTTTGCAAATTCTATGTTTGATTTTAACTTGTCAGCAAATTGTCATTAAGTCAAATGCTGACTGCCATTTTTCATACTTATTATTAGATTATCATTTACACTGAAATATCGACAGATTGTTCTGTTATTTTCCGATTATGTGTAGGAGAACACAGCAGGAGATACCGATCTTCAAGTAATTTCACTTCACCAAAGCACCTGATCCCATCTCTTTTAAGAGGTCTGTGTTTGCTCTGCTCCTGATTTGTATTTTCTAATGGTCTTTTTAGCTTGAATACTGTTAGATACTTCCTTATATTTCATAATTGGATAATGAAAAGTTCATTTCTAAGAAAGAAAAAAACCCTGATCAAATGGTTCATTAAAATATTTGTGGTATTCGATAGATATTATAACCAATTAAATAGGTAATCCAAATAAACACTAAGTTAACACGAGTTCGACAAATTATGTCTTTCAATAAATTTGGATCGAATCTGGACTGACATACTTTATGCTATTTTTCAGATCATCACTTTTAGAATACTAAGTATTCTATATGTGTCTAATAGATACGGATTAACTGGGGGTGAGACCAACCAAAAGGAGATGCTTATATCCCGATTCCATGTCAGGTATTTTTAGGGCCCGTCTTTGTTGCCCCCATTCATAATTCGTTTTGTTTATTAGATTGACGAAATTGATCAATGTTCGTTATTTTCTACCTTTTCTTTGAAGCTGACCCCGGGGCACAGCGATTAAAAATTTTGCTATAGAGGAAGGATCTGATCCTTACTGTTGCTGGTTCGAATCCCACTGCGGGACCTAGAGACCGACTTTTTGGATTAGACTGTGTAATTTGAGATCCTTTGTCGTAGAAGTGCTGGCACAAAAAAGTTCACTTTTTTTTTTCAAATTGCCAACTGCATTTGAATTACCAGTATAACAAAATTAAAATACAATTGAATTAGGTTTAAATCAAGTTACTTTTTTAGCATTTTAAAAAGTCAACTTACGTTTGCAGTCACTACCGTGTTGTTTATAGTTTGTGCAACACCTCAGATTTCCACTATATATGTGTAGAAGGAAATGAATAAAGTTTTATTTTATTAAAATTCTCTTAATTGACATTTACAACTTTTGTAAAATGTAATTACCTGTTATCCTTGCAAACCCCTGGTCCATTAAAGAGTCCAATAAATACTGCAAAAAAAAAAAAAAACTTCAAATAAAAAAATTAAAACACTCAGATGAATCTTACTTATTTTGATAAATTCACTTTTCGACAGTTTCATTTAATTCGCCCGACCCTTCTTTTCTGCCAATGAGGATCACAACTTTTGGAAAAAATATTTCTTTCACATCAGAATATTTATTGTAGGACTCCATTCAGTAGACAATGGTAATACTTGGGTATGAAACTAAGTGCAACCTTTCCGTATAGTTGCAATGACTACATCAAAGATTAATGGAATCATTCATGCCCACAATGCGCCATTACTAATGTGATGGGTTTCGTTTACCAAGCACCTTGTCGTAAGCGTATTAATTGACAACAACTTTACAATAGAGCATTTTTTAAAAAAAATTAAAAACATTTTACTTGCACAAACATCAACGAGATCGAAAGAGAATACTTCTTCTAAAGAACAGAGAAATGTCGTTTTATAAGGATATCCACTATCGCCCAACACACGTAGTTAGATCTCATAGCTAGACTTTATATGTTTCATAGCAATGTGTAAAATTCAACTTAAATGTCCTGACCAGTACTTATTCATAGATCAAAATCTAATTTGTTACGATGACCATGCAGCTAATAAACTATTTTATAGTGCTCAACCTAAAATAGTACACACGTCACATTCATTTATTTATACAAATAAGGTATGGTTTAAATACGTGTACAAATGTGGCCCTATATTTTTCTAAAATATGAAAATGCTGTAAAAAATTAAAATTCACCTTTTCTAAATTCTTGAAATTTTTTTCCAACTATGACCTCCTAAATGCCAATTGTGATGTTATGGACTTTTCCAGCATTTTCTTAAAATGATGCAGAATACATCAATTTTCAGTGAAGTTTTATTCCGGAATGGCTTCAGCATGTGCAATACCCACAAAGACGTTGCGATTTGTGATTTTTAAAAACATTTACACAATTTATCCAAAACTTAACAGATCGACTGCTGGATACTCTATTTCCCACAGGATTGACTGATTGATTCTATACTGTTTAACGTCCCTCTCCAGAATATTTCACTGATATGGAGACGTCACCATTGCCGGTGAAGGGCTGCAAATTTAGGCCTATGCTCGGCACTTATGGCCTTTGAGCAGGGAG